CTTGCGGCCTATACGTTGCCGTCGTCAGATGGACGCAGCCCAACGCGCTAGCCACCATCTCATGGAACGCCCCCCTGAAGCTCGCGCCTGAGCAGGAATACCGAACGGTGTCACCCAGCCCTGCAAGAAGATGTGAGCCGTCTGCGCAGCTGTGACCGTGCTCGGTATCCACGTTCCCATGTACCGCGTCGCGTGGTCCATTACAACTAGGAGCCACCAATTCTGCCTCTCTAGCTGCATGGGTCCTACGACTCTCGCTACGTCTTCCGCAAGTCCGGGCCAGTAGAACATGCTGGCTACTCTCTTCCGCGTCTTGAGTACTCCCGCGTGCCCACTGGTGCCGTAGTGGAAGTTGAATACCACTTTCGCTCTCAGTCGCTCCGGGACGTACCCCTTGCCAGTCATGACGTGCCGCCACCATTTGCCGTCCTTCTTCACTCCAGGCACTCCCCGCGGCCCCAGCTGCCGGTACTCTCTCATAAAGCTCTGTTCCGACACCTGATGCCTCCCCAGAGTTGGCTCACATGACCTGTCGCTCCACCGCCCAAAGCCATTGCCTCGATCTCTGCGTCGCACTCATCTTGCGCTGCGTACCGCGACAACCAGTCCGCCATGTTGTTCTTCTCTCCCGACAGGAACTCTAAAGTGAAGTTGAACCTGCTGAGCGCCAGCGCCCAGCGGAACACACCTTCCCTTTGTCTACTCCCACAAGGTAGCGTAGGTTGGCGTGATCTGTGCGTACGGTGAAATGATGGAGCGCTACGTAGTCGCACCACTTCTCTACAGCCCACTTGACGGCGAAGAGCTCTGTCTCTCTCGTATCCCACTTTCTCTCCGCTTCGGTGAACTTCTTAGACGCGAACTCTAACGGGACCTCTTGCACCTGCTTCAACACCGCGCCAATGCCAACCTCCGAGGCGTCTGTTTCGATGATGAGCGGCGCTCCTGGAACTGGCTTGTGAAGGAACGATGCACCGGCTACCGCCCGCTTCAGCTTCATGAATGCCTCTCTTCGAGCGTCCGGCCAGACGAACAACCTGCCCTTCTTGAGCAACTCGAACCGTGGGGCAGTGTACTCGGCGAATCGCGGGGTGAAGGGTCGTAGGAACCCAACAGCTCCTAGGAAGTTCTGCAGTTCCTTCCTTGAGGTGGGGGCGGGGGCATTGAGAACGTTGCCTATCCTCCTCTCCTGGCACGTTACGGCCAATCTTGTGACCGAGGTACTTTACTTCGGGCTTGAGACACTCGCTCTTATCTAGCCTGAGGTAGAAGCCTCTCTCTCTGCACAGTCGCAAGACCTTCTCCAACCGCTGCATCATCTCCGGCACCGTGTTCGTCGCGATGATGATATCGTCGGTGTAACACAGAGTGCGATCGTCCAGCACCTCCTCGAACACCATGTCCATCGCGCGCTGGAACTCCGCCGGCGAGTTCTTAATCCCGAAGGGGATGACGTTAACTCGAATAGTCCAAGCGGCGTGACGAGCCCGGTGAAATGCTTGCTCTCCTCCGCTATCGGCACATTCAAGAATCCCGAGTCCATATCGAGAGTCGTGAAAGTCCTGACGGCCTGCTGCGGTCCTCAAGTGGTCCCATTTCGGGGCAGCGGATACGAGTCGGCTGTCTGTGGTTCACCCTCCGGTCATCCAAAATGCACCTCCACTCGCCCATCTTCTTCACGAAGTGCGGCGCGGCGGCCCACTCGCTTTTCGAAGGACAGATGACTCCGGCTTCAGCTGCTTCTCCACCTGCTTCTCCAACTCGGCCCGCAGCTCAGGCTCGAGATGTCTCAACCTCGCTTTGTACGGCTCGCCGCGTGCCTCAAAACGCGCCTCGTACTTGACGCACGCCACCTTTGGGTTCTCCCAGGCTCTGGTCCAGATGTCCCGTGCCCTCCACGAATACCTGCCGCTGCTTCTCGAAGGGATCCTCCGACTGCTCCTCCACTACTGGTGGCTGCTCTTTGCACTTCTCCGCAAGCCGTATCTCATCAACTGCGCCTCTCTGCGCCGACAGGACCAATGCCTTCCCGGACCTTCTCTCAACCAAACCAAACCGTTCCAATTCTACCCTCCCCTGGAGGTTCGGGACCGATGGTTGATCATGCACCGCGAACTCTACATGTCCGTCTCGCCGTGCATTGTTACCGGTACTGGCTCCGTCACGGGTAGCGATCCTGAACCCAGCACTGTGCTTACTTGGTGTCGGCGCTGCGGCACTCTTACGCCAGCGCGACTGCAATCCTCTCTCCTCAGCAGGCTTACCTCTGCGCCTGTATCCTGCTGGAACTCAATCTCGACCCCCTTCACGAGGGCCCTTACCGAAAATTTCGGCCGTCTCTCGACTCTCGGGAACCGCGACTCGTGACTCCAGCGTCATGTTCCCTGTCGGCTCATTCCGACATTTCGCACCCCTTGGGCCGTCACTCTGCACTACCTTCTCGACTGCGGCCACTGGCATGCCGACGTCCTCTCCTTGCGCTTCTTGTCGGCGCTCAGTTCCTTGTTTACGAACTTTTGCACCGCCTTCAGGTAGTCGGTCCTGGTTCTAGCTCCACGGACATTCAGCATCGCTTTGCCTTCTTCTACCTCCACGAACGCCTTCAGTCCTGAGTCCTCATCTGTGAGGTTGTGCCTCGGGCACATCCTTGCCCAGTGCCCTTTCCGGCCGCACTTTGCGCAACTGTCATTGCCGTGGGGCATTTTTGCGGTGGCTCCTCATGCCGCGGCTACCACACTTGTTGAACCGCGCTCCGTCATCCGACGTGTCCGAGTCTGACTCTTGCTCTCTCGTGGGCCACCTCATCGCAGCGAAGACCGGTCTCGCTCTCTCCGACAGCGGCGAGCTTAAGGAGGACCTCTATCACTGTTCCATCGCCCTTCGTGTACTCGAAGTGGAACTCCTTCGCCCACCTGTTGTCTGCCGCCGCGCTCAGAATGGACTGTTGCAACAGCATCCCCGGAATCGTGATCTTTGTGCCATAACGGACCTGTAGCCTCGCCTCGTCAGGCGGTGCAGCCGCGGCGGCAACGGGTCGTGAAGGGTTAGCACCTGAGTCGTCATAACCAACTGGCTGTTAGGCCCTAGCCCCCGCACCTCGACAACCCTTTTTTGTGGTTACTCTCCAGGACCACTGACACACACGATGGCTACTAACTCTGTTGACAACTCAGCACCTCTTCCGGCGCCGGGTCGATGCAGGACCTGACGCACCGGCTCAGCAGAATGCTGTCCGGGTACAGGGACCTGGCTACGTCTGACAAAACCTTTCTACTGTCACTTCGGGGCCTCTCCTACACCCATTCAAACGCGATCTGACAGTGGCTGGCATCCAGGCCCACAGTCTGGCGTTTCGCTCAAACTCCTCTTCTGTGATGGCGGTGAACGGTGGGAGCTGGCACTTCGCTAGCTTATCCTCCCAGGTCTGCTGCTCGCGCGAGTTAAGCTCGCGTACCGACTCTGAAAAGCGCCCTATATACGCATTACCCACGTCAGCGGCGACCAGTCCAGCAACTGTCGCCATTGTTGTGTCGAACTGGTCCGCTACTGACGTGGTGGTGCCTGCGTCGTACGAGGAGCCTTCGGTGTCGATTCTGCTAACTTGCATTGCGACGGTTGCTAACTCCCTCCGTACTTAATATGGTGAGGTATTAAATAAGAAGTGTCCCCGAGTCACGTAATGCTTGATCGGTGATTTCTGAGGCCGGGAGCCGAGAGGCGATTTGGGTGACTTACGCTGCGCACAAAAAGTGTGTGCACAAA